ACAATTCTCTAGATAGTTACTTGCATTTCTAAATTGAGTCTGAGATGGGTTTGTTTCTCAGATTGTCTCCAACTGGCGACAAGCACCAAATACTCTCATTGCAAGAGACATCCCATATTCCATAAGAAAGTGTACTGCATTGCATTTTAAAAAACAGCTCTAAAAGATTATCATTAGCATAATTTAACTGCAGTGAAACCATCACAAAGCACTTAAGGCTACTCATAAATGAGCACCATTTTATTTATCCAGTTCTGAATATAAGGACAAATTACTTCAGCCTGCATTATTAATACTACAGTCATGAAGGAACACTGTGGACCAGACAGTGCAATGCGTGGTAAGAACACATCAGCATTGTTTGGAAAATACATACGTGCACACGTGTATACATGTACATTCACACATATAATACGAAGTATTAGGTAGAACGTACTACATTTTGAAAAGTTTGCACATGATTGAGAAAATGAAGCTGAAGTGGTGTGTCCCAATAAACTGGGGATTCAATGGCTCCAGGGAGGGAAACAAGTCAATGGTGGACTGCGTCCACATCTTCAGGAACAGAACAAAACCACCTTCTTAATTTTAACTGTCATCTCACTTGCAGCCCTGTGAAAAGAGTAGAGGTTGGCACATATCTGGCACCGGTTTTAAACCTTAACATAGACTTCTCAGAAATAATCCAAGGCAATTTGAATAGTGAGGAAGTTATCAGCTCCCTTTGTCATGTTTGTAAGGGGAGGATTTTAGCCTTCAGCCTCAAGAAGGTTGGTCTGGCACACTGCTTGAGCATTAGACTACACCAGGTCTCTTCATTCCCATTAAACTGACAAAAAAAAATACACAACCTATCTCCTGAAGTTCAAAAGCACGTGTAAAAGTATGTACCAGCACCCCGTCTCTTATAGTGGACTGGCTGTTATGGGACAGCTGAAACCTGTAGAGCTAAGCACATGATCTCTTTAGTAGTCCAGTATCTAAGGATTCTCCCAAACATGAATATCGCAGAGCAGAGTGCAATATAAAGGTCAATAAAGAATTAGGTGTCAAATGCCTAAAAAAATACCTTAAGAAGTTCTTTGAGCCAAAACAAGAATACGCTTGCCACAAAAGATGGGTGTCCAAATTAGTACAATACAGAATCAGGCTTTTGTTTGCTCTCCGTCTCCAGCTCAATAGATCTTGTGTTAAATATTCCACTCACAGAAAATTGAATTCTTTCAAATCGCAAGAAGGTAGGTGATGGGGGTTTGAAGCTACATGAAAAAAAAGTGCTTGAACACAGGTTTTCCACATCACAAATGAGTGCTTTTACTCAAAGCCCAGTGTGGCTGTTGCTTTGGCCATGTTTCGGAATAAAGGAGTGCTGGTCCTGCCACTTTGCCTGTAGTGCCCTGCCTGGGAAGCGTTTTCAGCATGACCTGCTGAAACTTCCTTGGTTGGGTTAGGAATCTCAGGAACTGTTTTCAAGAGGGTGTTTTTGGATTCGGGTGCCTACTTTCTGCTGAAACTCACTGCAGGCACCTAAAATCTCATATAAATTTGCCTATAAAGCACAGATGAATTCTGAAGCAAAAGATGTATGTTAAAAAAATCATTAACAGGTTTCTATTCTTCCCTTAACATAAAGCTTATTGATGACATTCTCATCAGTGCTTGTCCTGGTTAAGGGGAGAGGAACTTCTCCCCTTAACCAGGCCAACGAGACCATGAAAATGACTTGGCAGCTTGAAGCCAACCTGCGACTGGGCAGAACGCAGGACACGGGCAGTGCTCCCCTATGCTCCCACAGGAGATCTGTCCTGCAGGTACTTCCACAGCATGCTTTCTAACATGCACAGGCAGGGTTAACATCCATGCAAAATATAACTCAAAATGCAGCTAGAGGAGGCACAGAACATCAGCCTTTTGGCTGCTAACTCAGTGTTGAAAAACACTTGTGCAGGACCGGAGAGACCAGGGTTCAGCCTCCTCCTCCAAACTTTACAGAAAACAACCTTCAGATGGAAAATAGAACAACACTTCCCTCTTTCTCTCTACCTTTTCCTGGCCATTAGATAACAAAATCCTAATCTTTTCTGATCCAATAAATATCAAAATCCTCTCTGTGGGGGAACTAAGTGCAACTGGTAGAACTGCGGCAGGAAAGCTGGAGAATACAGCTTCTTCCCACCACAGTCACACCACATCACTAATAATAACTGAGGTCTTGGAAGAAAAAGATGAGTGAGCGAGTTTTGACTAGATCAGGTGGAGAAGGGAACTGACACCAATCTCTCCCTTCTGCCATGGCTGCTTTATTTCAATAAAAAGCAAACAACAGAATAGAAACTGTTTGCTTGTGTATGGGAGGATAGGAAGGTGTAATATGTCTTCCAATAACCATGTTTTAAAAGAAAATGACAAACCATTCTCAGTTCTTAAAAAAAATCACTTATTCTCATAAGTGAGGTTCCTGGCAGTGAATTCAAGCTGACAGAGCCCTGCAAAATGATAAGCAAAACCACGGCTAAAGTTTGCCCATGTAGCCTACTTGCCTCAGACGTCAGTTATAAGCATCTCTTTGCTTCAGAGGCAAGCTGGCTCTCACCTCAGGAAGTGGTATTTTGGATTGCATTCAGTCCTAACTCTTCCTGGGCATCAGATAAAGAGCCTAAACATCTACCTCGGGACTCTGGGTTCCTCTGCAAAGGCGAGTACTTAAAGGTTTGATGTGCCGCCCAAGCTCTTAATTGGATCCAACCCTGTAATTTGTTCTACAATAGGATAAGCCAGCAGGATTATTTACAGCACAGCATGAAAGCAAATGCCAAAGATGTGACAATGCAGCAGTACAAAGTCATTGTATTGATTGTATAAATTGCCTCATTCAACAGTCTTAGGCTGACTATGAATATTTCAGTGTTGTATCTCTCTTCAGTTTCACATCTAATGTGTTTCTTGAGTAAACAAGTGATGCTTGGGAAAGCCTTCCTCCCTTAATACAAAATAAGACATGGGTTCCCAAAGAAAGCTCAGCAGCAATCAATCAGAGATTTTAAAATTAACTGACGCATAATGGAAGACTCTTACAAAACACATCTTCAAAATAATTCTGTATTGGCCTGATGGGTTTATTCCACTGAATTTAGAGGAGGCAAATTTTTTCAAAATATAATGACGCTAGTACAAAAAGAAAAGTTATTGAAAATCCTGTGATACTGAAAGAAAATGAAGCTTTAAAATGGCAGTGTTCAGACAGCACTGGCATTTTGTTGTGCTACTACTCTGCCCATCCAACCAAGAACTTAACAACAGGTTCCAGAAAAGCTGTGGCAAAGTGCTGCTGGATGTTTCAGCGTGTTTCTCTATCGCTTTTAATTGTGTGTAATGGTGTCACATAGTTTTGAGAGCCAATTACCAGCAAGGACCTCATTCACAGATTGTGACTGGGGATGAGACAAGCAGGCGTCCACCCTAACAGTGCACTGGAGGAACAAGGCCTGGCCTAGTAAACACGCAAGACGTGTATAACATGCCATCCATGTGCATAACAGCTGTGAGAGTGTCTCTGCCATCCAAGCAGATACCATGGGTGCTAAAACTACTTTTTGAGCTGAAAGTTATTATTAGCAACCCTCTCTGCAAGAGGAGAGAAGAGTCTCTGCGGTCAGACACTATTATATCAAGTCCACACATGCTGGAGATGATAGCCATCTGTAACGGGAAGACAATTTTCCTCATAGACTTTCTGGCTAATTTTTTTTCTGTTCTTGGTAAAAATGTTTATATTACAGGCAGTTAGACTTCTCAGAATTTAAACACAAGTATTTGCATATTCAGATCAGCCTAGGGTATGCAATGTACAGAACTACTGGATAGCATGACCATAGACAAAGTGCGAGCCGGAGAAAATCATCAGGAGTGAAACATTTTAAATTAACCTCTGTTTAAGGCTTGATCTGTGAGAGATGCTGAGAGCCCAGATCATACATCCCAATATTCAGAAACCAGCTCTGGAAACATTTAACCAAAAAATTTCTATCTACCCCTGTCCACAGAACGGGACTGACAATACTTACAGAAAATCTTAAAACTTGTAGTCACAAGCATGCTATATAAATGCCAGCTATTATCATGAGCATGCCTGAAGCTGGCTCGACACTGTGTGAAGTGAATAGCAGACTGCACATTACCAAAAAAAACTTTCCGAAGGAAACATTCAACACTGTCAGGAAAAGAGACATGCTAGCTTCTTGCCACCTACAGGGGAAACACTAAAATCCTCATGGTCCAGCAGGTAACTACGTCGCAGACTCCAGTGTTGGGAGAGCAAATTGCCTCAGAACCAGAACTGCCATTAAATATGAACAGCATTGGGATTCCAAACTTTGTGCAACTTATGGAATCTTTTCTGGTTTTATTTTAAAATTGAAGCATTTTAAATTTTAAATGCTTCATTTTTTATAATCAGTCCATTTGACAAGGCTTTGTTTGTTTGTTTTTTTATGAAGAATAGCTGAAAGATCTCCTTTTTTCTTTTTGTATTTTCCTAGTCCCACACCATGCTTCTGCTAATTGCCATTGATTAGCAAACAGCTTGCCAATTAACCCTGACAGGGTAGTCATCGGTTTGATAGCACTGCATGTCATCCAAAAGGTAGGGAGAATTTATTGTTAGTTTCAGACAATTAGCAAGGGGGTGGCAGAGCTCACAATTGCCTAAAAGCTAAATGTTCCAGAACTGCTGAGATAAATTATTGAATCAATTAAAACACATGATTGGATGTCTGTAAGTATATTTAAAGCTAGCAAACAAGCTTCCAGCTGTCATGGTAGTAGAATAAAAAATTAGTAGGAGGAGAAAAACTAGCAGGATTTTTTGGTGTTGTGTTTAGGGGTTGGTTGGTTTTGGGGGGGTTTTTTAAGCTGCTGGAGTTTGTTCTGTTCTACTCTGCCATTAACATTAGTGAAATATAACTAAAAGCTAGTATTGACTTAAAGCAAAAGCATCTAAAATGGCTTTCCTTCCAAACTGGTTAACTTTTCTAAAAGGCAAAGAGATTGCTATCGCTAATGCTATAATTGCAATACTGACAATTGGTGGGCAGCAACTTTTCTCTTTTTTTACGTTCAGCTGTCCCTGTCATGTGGGGCAGAACCTTATCTATGGGCTGGCTTTCCTAGGAGTTCCTGCACTGATCCTTCTAATTGTTGGCTATGCCCTGAACAACCAGACTTGGAGGCTGGTTACAGGCAAAAGGTCTCCTCTTGAAGAGACTACACCAAACCGGTTACTGCAATGCAAACTGATCTGCTTTGTCTTGTGCAGCATCACTGGGAGAGCACTGGTTGCTCCAGTAACATGGCTAGCAGTCACCCTGATAAATGGCTCATATTACATCTGTGCCATGAGTGAGTATGTCTCTGTGCATAATTATGGAGCTAATCCTAATGTTACTGCTAGCGAACGCAGAAGGATATTGGCTGCATTTCCATGCAGTCAGTTAGTTCCTCCGGAGCTGACCCGGGCAAGAGATGAAGTGATTCTCCTACTCCGATACCAGTCACAAGTGAGTAACTCGTGTTGCTTCTGTTGCCTGCGGATCTAATGATGAGAACTAGAGTTAAATCAGCAGGCAAATTGTTAGGATAAAACAGGATCAGTATCTTCTGCCTTGAGTGCCAAATCTCTGTGTGTTTTGAAGCCTGCTTTGTTCCTGTAAGTGGAACTGAACTTTAAGTACATAAATTGCTATGTCTGGTTGACCCGTTTGTTACCTGCTACTGGAGGATATATTCTTCCTTGTGTAGTATCTTGAAAAGTAAGTAAGACAAATGGAAGTTCAAGAGCCAGGGAGGGCATGAAGTTTCTTCATTCAAGCATAAGAAACATGTGACTAAGGGGCTCAGGCTGCGAGAGCTCCATGTGAACCAAATTAAAACCTTGTTTTCAGATCAGACTCAATTCTAAAAGCTTACATACTAGGTAAATAATAGGGGGAACATTAAATTGTCACTTCAGAGAAAATTGGTTTTAAACAGGCTATAAGCTAATATAGGCCAGGACTTAGATGGCTTCTCTTCTCACAGTAATAGCTGTGGAGGCAAAATCCTTAACAAATTATACAACAGAACTTCCTTAAACTTGACAGAAAGAAGCGACTTTACTCCGTGGCTACCTCCAGTAGGCAGGGACTGGGTTTGATGGCAACAGACCCTTACCAGGCTTAACCTTGTTAACCTTATTATTCAGGAAAAGCAAGTAAAGATCATCTTACGGATTTTCTGATGCTCAGAAGCTACCACTGTGAATATTTTCAGCTGTAATAGGTTTTTTCTTTTCTTTTTCTTTGTAAGGTGGCTGGCTGGCTTCTGATTGCTGTGGTAGTCATCACTGTCTTCCTGTCTTACTGCCTGGCAAGCTGTTTCTCCCCCCTCAGCTTTCTACACTTCAGATACTGGAACAGCTATGTCCATAATGAGCAGGAGCTCTTTGATGAAGCGACAGACCAGCACTCCAGGCTCTATGCCATGCAGCACATAAGGAAGTTCTTTGGCTTTATCCCAGGGAGTGAAAATGTAAAGGAAATCCGTATCCCATCTCTCAGAGAGTGGCAAGCCATTTCTGGACTGGCTTTTCTAAAACAAGTGGATGAGGAGCACTATGACTACAGCCTCCTCCATGACTGGGCGCTCAAGGAGTCTGTAAATGGAAAATACCTGAGGACTGATGAAGATCCTGTGATCAGAACACAGCCCTGAGGGTCCAAGCCCCCACCAACACCTTGCAGAAAAGCAGGAATGTGTCTAGGTCCACATCAAGCCTGAGCTGCTCTGAAACTTTCCGATGCCTTATTACATTGATGTATGTGAGCAAGTACATCTTGTTAATATAGTCCTTTAGCACATGCTTACAGATGCTTTTCCTGATGGTGTCTGACTCTGTGGGATGTGATGGTTTATGCCTAGATTAGGGTGGGCTGTTTCAAGCTGCAGCTCTCTGCTTACTCATCCTTTTAGCACAAGTATTAGAATGTACTGGGAGAGAAGGTTATTCCCAAATGCTTTTTCTTTCCTCCCATTAAAAAAAAATTTAATAGCTAGACTTTGATTGGATCCTATGAGTCGGTCCATTCTGTACAGAGCAAAAGCAGATATCCACCTTTGTCTTAGTGACCCCTAGCAGAAATGCCTTATTTCTCCTCTTCTATGTCTGTCTTGTATTATGTGAATAAAATATACTGACCTAACTACAAGCTAAGTCTGTGGCTACAGCAGCACAGAAGAAACAAATGGGGAAACTTCAGCAACAAAGGCTGGGTCTAAATATAGTGATGAGAGAACTTTCAATTCTGGTAAGGAGATAAAATGCTCACTGAGAGGCACAGGGTGGAGGGGTGCAACATGCAGCAGCTGGATGAACAAACACTTTACATATGGAAAATTGAGTTCAAATGTATTCTGGCTGAAAGCAATAGCAAGGTCAGTCTCCTATTCCTTTTACATATACTTCAAAATCTCTCAGGTGTTTGTGTGCTTGCCTACTGTGCAAATAGCAAATCAGGATGGGAAACAAATCTCACTCTGTGCAGTAAGGTCTGCTTTGCCTGTGAAAAACTTACAATTTAGTCATACTACTGTGCACATAAATATTACTGTGATTAAAAACTACTGAATTTAGTGGCAGGCTTAATGATGTTTTTGCGTTAATTCAGTGTGGTATGATGTGGTGTTACTGCATCTCATCTCCTCTCTAATTCCCTGTGGAGACATTTCTAACTCTAAGGGGGGAAAAATGCATACCATAGTTTTTCCTAATGCTTCCTGTGTTGCCTTGCCATGTGCACATGTACATGTATGTGCTACAAAGCCATATGCTAGATTATAGGCTGCTATCTGCTGTTAATAAATGACCCCAGTGTTGAAGTGGAAAAATATAATTATTTAGTACACTTTACTAGGAAAATGCAGGAACCAGAAGTAAATTAAATTGCAGATCTTGGTAAATGTATTTGGTCTTGAAGATTTAAACTTCTAAATGAAAGCAAGCACTTTAGCAAATGCAAATAATGTATGTGCTGAATAACTCGAGAATGATGCGTATTTTATATCATTAAACAAATTCTTACAAATTCCCACATATGTATTTCATCTGAATCTCAAACTTTCAGGTACGTGGTGGGTTGACCCTGGCTGGACACCAGGTGCCCACCAAAGCTGCTCTATCACTCCCCTCCCTCAGCTGGACAGGGGGAGAGAAAATGTAACAAAAGGCTTGTGGGTTGAGGTAAGGACAGGGAGAGATCACTCAGCAATTACTGTCATGGGCAAAATGGACTCAACTTGGGGAAATTAATTTTATTTATTACCAATCAAATCAGAGTAGGGTAATGAGAAATAAACCCAAATCTTAAAAACACCTTCCCCCCACCCCTCCCTTCTTCCTGGCCTCAACTTCACGCCCGAGTTCTCTACCTCCTCCCCCCGCAGTGGCACAGGGGGATGGGGAATGGGGGTTGTGGTCAGTTCATCA